AGATTCGGGCGGTTGCAGGTGAATTTTTGCAGCTAAATCACTAAGATGATTTTTTGGTATTTCGAGGTTTGGTAGAAAGGTTTCGCAGTACTTTTTCACATATCATAATTTAAATCGATAACAACGAGAAATAAAAAAAAACAATTTAATTGATATTTCGTAGTTTTGTACTAATATTAAGTGCTTTTCAACGAGAATTTTAAATATTTATAAAAAAAATGGGCTGCTACAAATAATAACATTGATTTTGATTTTTTGATTAGTACAACTATTATTAAAGTGTTTAATAATATTTTTAGTGTTTTTAAAAAGATAATTTGAATTTACGAGCTACACACTACAAAATCTTTTTCCAGCAGTCGGCAACGGCCGTGAGCGCGTGTTCCCCTTCTACTCGGGCATCGGCAAGGGAAGGAAATAAGTGAAATAATTTTTGTATTGCATGTTTTTATTAGCTAATTCGCTAACTCTGTTTCTCTGATCTCTCTCTCTCTCTCTCTCTCTCTTTCTCTCTCTCTCCCTCTCTCCGTGTTATCACTGATCTCTACACATATTCCCTGAATTTCTCTTGGCAAGCAGCGGCCCCCTCTCCCTCTGGTGTGTCGATTGTATCATAACGTTGGCGCGTGTGCGTGCGAATAAATTGTGTCGTGTTTCTGGCGCTCAACTTTGCAATTTACACTGGCGTTTATGTTTATAACTTTATTAGTTATATTGGTTTTAAATTAGACTAAATTTGCCTTTATTTAGTTTTAGTTTAATTTCATTAGTATGACAATTTAGAGGAGCTTTGAATTTTCCTGTTTGCATTTTTTTTAGTTTTTTGTCTTTAGGTTAATTGGCGAAAAAGATTTACTGAATTGGTGACTTTTAATGTGAATAATTGGGCAATTTTTGGAGCATCGCCACAGGAATTTAGAACTTTCCGCATTTGCCCTTGACGCATGCTGAAATTGAGAATTTAGCTTTGCTCTCCTGTCTTATCATTGGTTTTCTTAATTTAATTTTAGTTTGATGAAATTTCAATAGTTTGAACTCAACGGGAAATCGATACGAATCGGGAAATCGATCGCGGACTTTCTCGAATTGGGCCTTGCCTAAAATCATATAAATTTAAGGGATTCGTGTTAAGTTCGGACCCAAAGGCAGCTTTCCGGCCTCGCCATCGTCGGCCCTCGCCTTGTCGAGCACTGAAAATTTTGATTGACATGAAGTTTTTAGGATTTTTTGGGATCGCGTCACAACTTTGATTTTTACCGCACCGCGCTTCGACACGCAACGCGATATTCAACGCGATACGAAACGCTAACTGAAACGCGTTCGCAACGTGAAAGGGAAAGTGATCCGCTGCAACGCGACACGCAACGCGACATGTGACGCGATATGCAACGCTGTACGCAACGCTACAGGAAACGCGTCCCGCGACACGCCACGCGATCCGCAACCCAATGCACGACGGCGGTACGCAACGCGATTGACAACTAGTACGTGAAACGCAACGCGGCCCACAAGACGGAACGCAATGTGACATGCAGCGCGACATGCAACGCGATACACAACGCGACAGGTAACGCGATGTGCAATGCGATATGCCACGCGACACGCCCCGCAAAACGCCACGCAATACGCAACGTGATAGGCAAATCGAGTTGCAACGTGGCACGCCAGGCGTTAAGAAGCACGTTCAGGGAGGGGCCGTGTACTCGTACCAACGTGTACACCCTATCGACGTTGGGACCGCGCGCGCGCGGCCTGTGCCGTGGGAGGTCATTCCCCTTCTTTCCGGGGTGGGGCGCCCCTCGGCCCCTCGCCAGGTTGCACCTGTGGCTGACTGGTATGCGACCGCGTCTTCCGATCGGGAGGCCCGGGTTCGACCCCCGGCCGCGGCAAAAATCATTGCTTTCTTGCCCAAAAAAAGTCCCTGAACGTGCCCTGTAAGAAACGCGATAGGCAACGCGATACCGCCAAACGCATGGCCACAAGCAGCGCGACACCCATTGTGAAATGCAACGCGGTACGCCACTCGACACGCAATGCGACAGGCGGCTGGCACCGCGACCCGCAATGCAAATCGCAACGCGACTGGAAACCAGGTTTACAAGGCGAGATCAATACTTCAAAACGTACTCTTCTGCAGACAATCCGTGATCTTCTCGAGGTCAGGGGTGCCCTTGGCCGCGGCGACGACCTTCTGGTGCTCGACTAAACAATATTAATGATATTTTTTCCTCATTTTTCTAGATAAGTATCATTAGTGGCACGCGACGCTCGACGTGTACGCCTTCCAGCTGCGTGCTTGATTTGGAGCAGACTCCTGGAAAATCGGCGCGGCGCGGCAAAGCGCATCGTGGTGCTGTGAACGCTCGCTAAATGGAGATTCGCGAATCGAACGAATTGATTTTAAATGAAAATAAGGTCAGGTATCATACCCCGTAGGTCTTTTTAAATAGTTGTCAGACCATGCAAGAAATCCCTTAATTATCCTGAGTTAATTTCCAAATTGTAGTGATTTGATTTTTCACGGTTTACACTCAACCTCGACTCGTTCATTGCGTCGTTGATTTAAAATGGCAATAAAAAATTTTCTATCTTTCGTGAACCTTTTCTTTTTTTCAGACATCCCCAAAACGGTCACAAGCTTCACCTTTCTTGCCTTTTTTGGCCAAGACATCGCCCGGGTTTTGCGACTTTGGCCAATGAATTCAAGGGGGGGCTTCTGCGTCTACCCCTCCCCCCCACCCAGCCGACGAAACAAAGGAAATGTTTTGCAACGAAAGGCACGGCCACGAGCACAGCTCAGACCCGACAAACGAACCGGGGTTTTGTGTCCGGGGATTGCAGAGTGCAACGTGAGGAAGCGAGAAGTACGGGAATGTTCTTTGGAAAGAAGGAGGGAAACTCTGAACTTTGCCGCTATGGAAGAGGGATTGCGCATTAATCGACTCACTGATAGATCAATACGTCAAGAGTTGCAAAGCGAGGAGAGAGAGAGAGAGAGAGAGAGAGAGAGAGAGAGAGAGAGAGAGAGAGAGAGAGAGAGAGAGAGAGAGAGAGAGAAATAGGAGAGACAGGGTCAAAGGGAGCGAGAGAAAGAGAGTGAGCGAGAGAGAGCTAGAAAATGCGTGAGTGAGAGAGAGAGACACAAAAAATTTGCACAAGTCACATGTCTTCTTTGGCCAAGAACCATCTGGAGCTGGATAACGATAAGCATGAGCATTTTTTTGTAAATGTTGGGCTACTGAAACCACACTTACATGCCCCCTCTCTCTCTCTCTCTCTCTCTCTCTCTCTCTCTCTCCCTCTCTTTTTTTCTCGGCTCTTTGATGGTTTTCAGCCTGAACTAAAGTTGCCAAAAAGCCAACAGGTTATCTAAGCACTATCTAAAAATTATTTATGCTAATTTTAAGACTAAATCCAGTTTTATTTTTTATTGACGTTGATCTTCCTGATCCCCTTCAACCAAACACCAATATCCCCCCAAGTCCTTAAGCGCTTTTTTGTGCAATGACCCACCTTTTAGACTAGCCGTCGGGGGTCCACCCGAACAAACACCCCCACCAGCCCCTTCCCATTGAAAGTCCACGAGGTGCGCGATGATTTTTTAATTCACGCCCTAGTCCGGATACGGTAGTTGAGAGGGGGCAGAAACGGGAACAACCCATTTTTGGAGCTCTTCCTCTCGCTAATTTGATGCTATGGACCGAATATCGCTACTGGCAGCTGTTTTATTAATTTTCTGTATTTTTGTGGGGATCGATGGGGTACATTAAGTTTTGTATAACATTTAATTATATTCTTCAGTGTTTTTTACGAATTAAAAATTGTATTTAGCAAATGACAGTAAACCCTATTGCGGGACTCTCTCCGGTTGGCTGCCCTAATTATGGACTGTGCACGGGTAATATGTACAATACCTCACTTACCTACTACCAATGCATACCCGGGTATTGCGAGGTAAGCAAGCCCAAGCTAAGCCAAAGTTAAGCCTAAGCCAAGCCTCAGCTAGCCTAAGCCAAGCCTGAGCTAAGCCTAAGCTAAGCCTAAGTCAGGCCCAAGCTAAGCCTAAGCTAATCTTAACCTACGCCTGGTAAGCCTAAGCCAAGCCTAAGTCAAACCTAAGCTAAGCCTAACAAGCTTGTAAGCCAAACTTACGGTAAGCCTTAAAAGTCAAATTTAGTGCAATAACGGGACGAGCAACAATGCTACGCTCGGCACCGCCGGAGATTGCGCGGAGGGTGGGTTCTACTGGTATTCAATCCACGAAACCTTTGTAGATAAAAGAAACGAAAAAGCAGGCTAGCAAAGGTTCTTTGAGAAATTGCCTTTCCCTTATCGATGCACTAATAGGCTGTTTTTTGTTGTGCAATCAAAATTTAACGGGGCCGTTAACAGCAAGAATTTAGTTGCTGATACCTGCGCCTCGAGCCCTTGCGGTTCAAATGGTGTCTGCTCACCGTCAATAAATTATTACGTCTGCTCATGTATCTCCCCGTACACCGGGGCGTACTGTAATGAAACAGGTAGGTCAAACGTAGTTTTTTTTTTACTTCAAAATTTAGCCACCAGTTTCGACCCTTGCTCCTCCTCACCTTGCCAGGTAGGTTTAGAATTTTTCGGGAAGTACATTTTTCGATAATTTTTTATTGGGAAATCATGGAAGTCAATAAATCAGATAATTAAATATCAAATTTTCTCGCTATTTAAAAAACAGTATTGTAAAGTTAAAAATTTTGTTTTAGAACGGCGGAACTTGCAAAAGCTCCAAGGGGAATGCGACCTGCTCGTGCTCCAATAAATACACCGGAGCGTATTGTCAATGTAAGCATAGGAAAAAGGGCCAATAAAATTTAATTTTGGGTAATATTTTCAATTGCAACGTTAACATATATTGTTCTTTTTTATTTAATTAAAAAAAACTTCATCAGAATTAACCAAATTCTGCGATTTCAGATTCAAACACATGCAACTCGAACCCTTGCAAAAATGGCGGGACTTGCCAGATGCTGTTTAACGGAGCGCAGTCGTAGGAATTTTTCTGGAAACCTATAACTGTAATTTTCAGATATTGCTCCTGCCCTAGCGGATACCAGGGGGCGCTTTGCGAAGTCAGTAGTACCACTGGTAAGTCCTTTAAAGGACTATGGAAGTCACAGTACGCTTGCTTTCAAATCCCGCGATTTCTCTGCCGGTTTTAAGCAAATTGTGTATGCTTGAAGCGGATGATAGTCGAAAGTACACTGCCGCGAAACAATACTTGTTTTAGCCGACGACACGTCTCTTGGTTGCTACACGTACACGAAGAGCAAGTTGAGCAAGTGCAGCAGCGAAACGAATAAGCAGCCGTCTGTGGATTTGTAAGTTTTGTTTTGGTAACTTTAAAAAGTTTGGAGAAATTACCGGTAATTCATTTTCAAAATTTGGATGAAATGTCGGTATTTACCGTAAGAATCGGTGCTGATTAGCGGCAGCGGAAGAAATTGTTCTAATCCGAAACTATTCAAATCGTCATAAAACTAGTTGGTATTGATCGGCGTAGGAGTTTAAGATCAAGAAAGGAAACGCACGTTAGCTACTCCCGGTACTGGAGTGTTAGCGGAGGGGGCTAATCCCCCCCCGCTAACGGCCCAGCACCAGAAACCATCATTTCCCAAAAACAATCGTTTCATTGTTTTTAGATGTCGGAGTGACTTCCAAACGGCCGCTGGAAAAGACAACGGCCTCAGCTATTACTGTAAGTTCACATTAATTTTTAGCGTTTTCAACTATTTTTTCCGATTTTCTCCATGCACGTTTTCAGGCACCTACGGCGGCACGTGCTACTTTTGTGATGACAACCCTTACGATGGGGTGTCCACGAGCTCGGGAAGTGGCTGTACGGCAAAGTGTTCGGCAAGCGTCAGTGGAATCGGGACCAGCACATCGTATTCTGGGTAATTTCATAGCGCAAAACAGCGAATTTGTGAAAATCCGATAGTTTGCCAACCATATCAAGACCATTACGCACCTAATGACCCCGTCAAACTTACGCATGCCTTTTTAAAGCTCACGGTTCTCAAGCTATACGAGGCTCGACTATCATCAACATTTTATGGCTTTAAACGTTGTTTATAGACAATTAATAGCCATTTTCAAATGAAATTATTAAGAAACTAACCTCCTAAATTGATGAATTCATTCTAGAGCCTCGGAAATATGCGGGAGCTCGAGCAACGGCAACCAGCGCGTTATTTGCTACGAGTATTCGGACCTCGGTAATTTACCCTTTTCACCCTCTCTCTCTCGCTCTCCCGCTCTCTCTCTAGCTCTCTCTCTCTCGCTCTCTCTCGCTCTCTCTCTCTCGCTCTCTCTCTCTCGCTTACATGATGTTTTCAGTGGATCCACTCGTCTGTACAACGACTACATGTGACAACGGTGGACAGTGCGTCGACCTGGCCGGCAATTCCACATCTTGCCTTTGTCCAGTGGCGTATTCCGGAACATTTTGTGATATAGGTTAGTTTTAAAGGGGTTGGAAGGTGAAAAATTAGCTATGGATTCAGATTCAGAACATTCTTTAATTAATTAGGCCATAAAAAACCTTAGAAATTCTGTATTTTCGCTCCAATACGGTATGCAAATCCTTCAGAGAACAATCCCTGCGACCCGAACCCGTGCCAGAATGGTGGCAGCTGCTCGAATGGCACGGATTTTACGTATGGTTGCTCGTGTCCGGCTGGATATACTGGAACTACATGTCAAAGTAAGCGTAGCTTGCTAGCTACCCTGCAATCGTACGATCCTATACCTATTAAATGTGAATTTTAGCCAAAATCAAGTGCTCCTCTAGCCCATGCCAATACGGTAGCGTCTGTATCGATTCAGCCGATTTTTCGAGCTACTCCTGCGTCTGCTTGAGCCTTTATACAGGCCAGAATTGTGATAGTAAGTCTAAATCGACTCTTTCTGCGACTCTATCCCTCTCACTCTCTCTCACCCTCTCCCTACGCTTAAATTTAGTCCCAAACATGTGCATCTCCAATCCGTGTGTCCACGGTACCTGCTCGGTCGTGTCGAACTCCTTCGATTCTACCTATCAATGCACATGTGAGGAGGGGTGGACAGGACCGCATTGTGATGTTGGTAAGTGGATTTAGACTTTGAACTATAATACGAAAATTTAGCCATCGACTTTTGCTCCTCCGAACCTTGCTTCTACCAGGGCACCTGTACTACGGTAAGTGATGGGGAGAAAGTGAGACAGACAGACTGAGAGAGTGATAGAGAGAGAGAGAGGGAGAGAGCGGGAGAGAGAGAACGAGAAAGAGAGAGAGGCGAGAGCGACAAACGGTTTTTCCAGGTGAGTCCTCCTGCCGATCCATGGTACACCTGCGTTTGCCAGCCCGGAACTTCTGGACCCAGCTGTGAAATTAGTAAGTTGGAGAGAGAGAGAGAGAGAGAGAGAGAGAGAGAGAGAATAGAGAAGGAGAGAGAGAGAGAAAATGCTGAGAGAGACCAGCTATTTTCGCGCCTTTAGACCCGGATGACTGCATCTACACCACGACAAATAAGATCAAGTACAGCCCCTGTAACACCACAGATAAGCAGGTAAAGTAGCTTAGAAAAAAGCGAAAAATCTGGCTCCAGGGCCAATGCATCGACGGTTTCAACTCTTACACGTGTTCTTGTGGTCCTGACTATACTTCTGATGATTGTACGATCCGTAAGTGACCTCTAAGGTTACGGTAGTAAATCCACGTTTTAGCCATGATCGTCTGGAACGCCACGATCATCATTTTTGGCGAGGGTGCGACCGTTGGGAGCGATTTGATCAGTGTAAGTGTTTATCGTTTCCGGAAATTACTAAATGGTCTGCTAGCTTGCCCTCAGTATTCAAGCTCCGGCGAGTAATTCCTAAATTGTTTCGCTAGCCAGCCCCAAAACAGACTTGGCGGTAACCAGACTCAGTCCGCCCTAAGAATTCGAAGCTCTTCAGGCCTTCCTGAACTGGTCCCTTGCTAGCTTGCCCTAAAAATTTCAAACTTCAGCGAATAATTCCTAAATGGTCTCTGCTAGCTTTTCTTGAAAACTCGAAGTAAAAATTCGTTGTTAATTTAGCTTCTCACCGACTTGCTGAGCAACCCGGCCAACATTGCCGACATGGTGCCGTTTATTTTGGGAGGTGACTCCGTTGAGGAAAGGTACGGAAAAAGCTCTCTCATCGTCTCGCGCTCATTCTATCTCTCTCTCGCGCTCTATCTCTCTCTCTCTCTCTTTCTCTCTCTCTCTCTTGCTATCTCCCTCTATTTTTCACGGACATACATAGATTTTGCTTTTTAGGGAATCGTTCAGCTACAGCTTCACGGACATGTTCGCCTGGGCCGCTTATGAAGAGCATACCCTCACTTTGGAGTGAGTCTCGCGGGCTAAAATATTTTAATTTTTTGTTGAGGGCGACTTTTTTTCGCGATGATTTTAACTTCCTATAAGCTGCTTTAGACGCGACATGTACATGTGGAACGACGTGACGCTCGGGAATTGTTTCACCTTCAACCATCGTAACAACACCCAGGCTCAGTATTTGGGGAGGATGACGGGGAGAACGGGAGGTCGCAGTCACTTCAATAGCCCTTTAAAGTCAAATTCAGGTCTTTACGCAATGCTCAAAATCAACCAGGCCGAGTACTGTCCGTGGATCGAAACGTCTGGAATACAGGTAAGAGGTCAAAAACGTAACTACTGGAAAGTGTTTTTACTCAACTTGGAGTTTCGATTCGGGACCAAGTGCATCTTGTGCAGAATTTTTCGCTGATTCCGAATATGTTTTCCAAATTTGCTACGGACCGTTATTCTGAAAGTTATACGGCAATTATGACCCTAGCTTTCACCAAAATGAAGGTTTCGTTATAGTTTTCGATTTTCTTCATTAATTTCAACGTCAAAATTGACTAGACGTTGGCTCGACAATCATCCTACAGCTCAAAACAAGCATTTCATATAAAAAATGAGCTATGCAAAAAGAAAGAAATGATGCAGGGCGGGGTTCGAACCGCCGCCCTGCGCTTGGCAAGCGAGTACTTTGCCAATGCACCATGTTGCCAACCGGGAACGGTGCTGTCAGAGGGTACTTCAGGGCCCCTGGGAACAATAGCCCCAAACAAGGAATAGTGGGCCAGCGTCTGAATTTTTGGCATTTTTCGGCCTAATTGTTACCAAAAATGATTTTTTAAATAACAGTCCGTAGCAAATTTGGAAAACATGTTCGGAATCGGCGAAAAATTCTGCACAAGGTGCACTTGGTCCCGAATCGAAACTCCAAGTTGAGTATAAACACTTTACAGTTAATCGGTTAGAAGAGAAACGCGAGAATTAGGTTAAAAATTCTTTTAAACCTATTAAAAACCCGGAATTACCTAGGTATTCGTTCACGCTGCTGAAGAAGACATCTTCTCGGAATCTGTACGCTACAATGCCCAACCCGTCGGCGAGACGGAGCTTTTTCCATCGTTGGTGGGTGATTAGCATACTCTATCTCTCTCACTTTCTCCTTCTCTCTCTCTCTCTCTCTCTCTCTCTCTCTCTCTCTCATTCTCTCTACTTCTTTCTCTCTCTACTCTCTCCCTCTCTCTCTCTCTCTCTCTCTCTCTCTCTCTGACCCAACTCTTCAGACAGCCTACACCCGCCTCGGCGGTCGCTACGGTACCTGCGTCCATGACGCCACCGAGGTCAAACAGTACTACTACACCGGAGCTTATGATACTGATGTACGTCTTTTTTTCTTAGTAAATCAAAATCGAAATGTAGGGCTGCATCCGCTCGTGCTACCAAGAAGCCGTCCAAGAAAGTTGTGGCTGTATGGATCCGCGGTATCCGATGGCAGCGACGGCGACAGCTTGTAGCTTGACCCAACGTAAGTTTTTGGACGTCTTCGGGCGCTTACTGTCGAAATTTCGTGTATTACATCATGAGTTGGACAACGCAAGGCTCCTCTGTACATCATTGTTCCAGGAACCTGCGTGAACGACATCGACGCGTTGGGCGACCCTTCGACTTGGCCATCTTGTGTCTGCCCTCAAGCCTGTACCCAACGGGTCTATGATGTCGATACTTTTACGAGGACTATCTACTCGATTAGTGTAAGGATTTTTGCAGTCTTTTTCATGCTCATCGTCTCATGCTCACTCTAACGCGCATCAGCTCACTATCGTGCTCAGCATTCTCTATTTCTCTGCCGCGAGCTCCGACTTTCTCCCGATCTCGGCCTCGACTAAGGCATTTCCAAGTGGTCTGTTGAGATACGCAACGCTAGGTTCTGGCAAAATGTCGACACCTAGACCACGGAAGGGTCGATTCGTTCACTTTCCAGTCTCTTTAAAAGGGTTAAAGAAGTTTTTTAGCCAACCCAAGAGTGCAGCTTGACGAACAACGCTGCAAATTGTACGGCTGGGATACAGGATACAGTACGGGTAGCCGTCACGATGACCGATTACACCTATCAACTATACGCTGAAGTGGCGGCGGAAAGTGTATGTTTCCTGAAGAGAGAGAGAGAGAGAAGAGAGAGAAGAGAGCGAGCTAGAAAAAACGTAATCCATTTTGTTTTCAGTTTAACAGCTTCATCGGCTCTCTCGGTGGCCTCCTCGGCGTGTTGATGGGTGTATCAATGATCTCGTTCATCGAAATCGGATTCCTATTTGCCTCAATTTTTGTGGCGTTGTCAGAAAAAAATAAGGTGTAAAAAAAAGATGTATGCTGATTTTATCGTGACATCTTGATGCAATTGGAAGTTTCACTAAAATAAATATCAGTCGAGAGCCAAATGATCCTTAAAGACCGTCAGAACGATGAAATTCCGTCGAGAGCAAGAAAGTTGCGCACCGGGCGGGGTCGAACCCCGAAGGTTCGCTCCACAGTCCGAGCGCTAGCCACTACACCACAGGGCCAAGTGGGGAAGGGAGTCAGAGACGCCCCAAACCCCAGAGGGCCTTTGCCCAGTACGGGGCACCACTAATGACGCATCTCTCCGCGCATTCTTGGGGGCAGCACCCTCGGGGTGACAGTGCGCGTTCCATCGTTCTGGTAGTCTTTAAATCGGAGTGGGAAATCGGAGTTCGAAAACACGTAAAATTGATCTCGTAACTGGGTAGTTTGAAATTTTTTTATTCGGGCCGTTTTACGTACGGTAAGTAGGAAGAATAAGCCCTTTCTCTCCTAAGCTGCCAATCGGGATTCAGCGCATTTGAGTGAGTTAAAGCCCTTCTTAATTTTCGCATAGCAACGACGATATGGTTGGTCAGCAAAGTTCCTTCAACCCTGCCCGAGAATTCTTGCTCTAATGCTCACGAAGAATCTGTTGTTAATAACTTTAAGCTTTCTAAACCGGGCGGTAGTAAGGTATCGGGTGGTTATCATAGTGTCGTTTAAGCAAGTCGTGAGATTCCTGAGATACCCATTGCCAAGTAGAGTTATCGACTTTCCGTTTCACTTCGACAGTTATAGTTTAGAGCCGCCGACGGGTGGATCATTTAAGGTATAAAATAATTTATATGCCAACCCTTAAGGTCAAATACATAAACGCTGAAGTCTTTTAGGAGACGCTAAAATATTGCGTTACAGCTATTTGTCGGGGTGTCTATTGTTGTACGAATGACTCTTGGCAAACGATGTTCCACTTATCCACAACCGCGACGAAGGTGAGATACTTTTACTTCTTATACTCCGTCATTCAATTTTTAGCACTGTCTCCGATTCAGCTGGTGTTCTAATCTCCTGTTTTGTATACCAAAAACATTTGGAACTTGGTAATTTTCAGACTTGCCGTGTATCTTGACCGGTAATCCTTCAGATAGCATCACTAACTATGAACGTGCAAGCCAGACATCCGAAGTAATGAAGACATCTACGAAGACGGCAGAGACAGCGAGTAGTAACTTAACTAGCACTACCGCTACGAGGACATCAGCAACAAGTATCACTTCTACCACGTCTGTGATTACAACTAAGACAGCCACGTCAATGATATCGACTATCACTTGTACTGGGGGCACGACAAGTAAAGCCTCAACGACTGCTACGACCACGGTTACCACAGCGGCGATAAGTTCGACGACTTCAACAACGACGCTTGCAACGACAACCAAGTCGTCAACAAGTATAAGATTTTTCGGTTGCGAATGCGTTGTTCTTTTAGCACTCAACCCCCTCGCCACCGCCACCTATCTACCCATTCCAAAATATGTAAATGCATCTGGGATCCACTTTTGGAGACGTATGGTCCGCACGGTTGCCGAGCCAGACGACCAATATTGTAAAGGGTAGGTAGTGTTTGAGATCTAACTTGCTGGTCCTCTCGCTCTCTCACCCTCCCACACACTCACGCTCACTCTCTCGCTGTCTCTCTCTCTCTCTCTCTATTATCTCGCTGCTCCTTCACTCTCTCTTCTTTTTCTGTCTCTCTCTCTCTTCCGCTCTCTCTCGCTGTCTCTCTCCCTCTCTCTCCCTCTCTCTTTCTCTATCTGTCTTGCTCTCAGTCTCTCTCCCTCTCTCTCTCACACTTTACTCTCGCTGTTTCTCGCTCTCTCAATCCAGTTTTCCAGAACCACTTGGCAATTCCTAAAACCGGGTCAAGGCATCACCTGTGATGGTCAGGCAATGTTGAGAAGTAGCATGGATGGTAGGAGTAGCATTTACACCCAGGGACTTGTCTTTTTAGGAACCTATCTAGGCGTTCGGGAAATGGCTGGGATGATAGTCGGTTGGGTGGCTACCACTAAAAACAACAAATGCGGTGCCAGACTCCCGATCCGCGCTTGGCAACACCCAAAGACGCTGGATTGCATCTACACAAATGCCGCTATCGCAAGCGTGAGAAGCTACGTCTCGCTTGTGATCGTATTTTACGCTTGGCCGCCGAGAAGTCCATGCTTTGTCGCCGGGATTGGCTGTCAAAATCCGGAGGGGCTGGTGAATTGTCACCTCGATCTGTAGAGGAACAAAACCGCTGGATAAATTGTGAGTGAAGCAAGTTATGATTTATACAAATGCATCGTTATTCCAATTTATAAAACCGTTGGCGAACGCAGCAACTTGCAATTCGATGTTTTTGGGAAAATCTAGTTAGGCTTATCTCGTCCAGAATTTTACGCTGAGTTCGAATCTGTTTTGAATGTGTCAACGACTGCATTTTAAAAGTTATGCCGTTTTGAAATGCGAAAATGCTCCAAAATGGCCCAAACCGGAGACATTTTTGGCTTTTCGCACTAAAAAAGTTGTCGCGAATTTGGAAAACCGATTTGAAATAAGCGCAAAATTCTGCACAAAAGGCTGGGTCACGTGCGGAAAAACGACACATTGGCAAAAAAAATTTTATCGACCAGATTAACATTTTGGTAAATCGCTATTTGTGCAGCCTTGAACTTTCGTAAAACAACCCCCGGCCGTCCACGCGTAAAACTTGAGCACGGGCGCCTTGTAGATGGTGGCAGAGTAGCCGGCGCCAGTGGATTGATAGATCTTGTCCCCGTTGGCCTTCTTGACCATCTCGCCAATGGGCGTTGTCGCAAAACATCCATTATCCTTGCCACTCGCCACCCAGCCTAGCTTTTGATCACCGCTCGCGCCGACTGAGAGTGAGAGACCTAAAAGAAAAGTTAGAGCTACGATCAGCACCCACCATCCTTACTCGCCCACAATTTCACCAAGCCGTCACATCCGTCCGTCGGCTTTTGTGCTAGGTATCGCCAGATTTGCCTGGAATCATGGATTTAGGATCTAACAAGGAGACGTTATTTTAGTGACAATCGAGAACTTTGTAAGAACGGGATTTTCGGTCTTATCCCCTAGCCCCAAAACTGGCAAAAGCTAATTGCCATAAAGCTTCAAAGCTGCAAACCATCATAAGAAGGGAGTGATCGGCGAAATCACTTTAGGAGAAATGAATTTTCCGAACATTGCGTTCTTAAAGGGGCTCGGAAGTCATAATTCGCGGTTTACGGGATTGAACCTACTGAACAAAAACAGGGGTGATGCCGAGAAGCGTTAGAAAAGTGATTTTGTTGGACCGAAATTGTCAATTGTCCGAAACTAAAAACCCACCCCTGGCAATAAGTGTCCTCTGGGGTGGCAACATTCAGGCTCATCTCCTTCCAATAGTGCATCACTGGCTTAGCCTTTCCCTTGTATCGGGGGATCGTCGCCAGATTTGTCATGATTTCGTCTTGAAGGTTCGGGGTCGTCGTAGTTTCTATGGTGATTTTTAAAATAGAAAACTAGAATTTACCTAGCTGGCCTCCGACCCAATCAGCCACCATACTAGTAAGTGTTGTTGGAGCCGTTTTCGGTATTGGTTTTGTGCTCGTCATGGACGTGCTCGCTGAATTTGCATGTTTTCGGTACAGTACTAAAAAGATAGTAAAAAAATACGCGATACAACGCAAAAAATTTTACTGGTTCTTCAATTTCAGTATTTTCTGGTCTCTCAAGTCCTTCCTAGAGCCCTCAGGCTCCAACAGGTACGATAGTATGCATGGCAAGGATACATTTTACCGCTGATTTTCTCACGTTGGTGCGACTGTTTTATGTCTTTGAGCTTCTGATGCACGAAACGTAAGGAAATTCTCGACTGAATGTCTGTTAAAATTACCCTTAGCCGCCGTCCCACAAGCATCTGCTTTCTTATAGACAAAGCAATTAGTAAATTCAGTTAGAGCAGGAACCCTTAAAAGTAATGCTTCTGCGGCGAAACCAGATCTGACCCTGAATCCGCTGATGGATAGGGCGAACAGTTGGTCTCCAGCATCGAATTCGTACAGCAATAGACTCCAAGGCACAGTGCGCTCGAGTTACAGGTAAGTAATACTTTCTACAGGGTGTCTCAGGATTATCCGGACAAACTTTCAATGCCATTTCTTCCTATTTTTTTCCTGTTTTATGCGCACATCTTGTAGCTCCTATCAATCTTTGAGGTATTTTTGAGGCACTGGCAAAGAAAATTTCGCGAGGCTATGACATATCGCTTCGTAAAAAAATCGAAGAAGTTTGAACGTAATTTCTCCCATCTGGCAAAGCCTCAAAACGCATGCTGTTTCCGACGCTATAAAAATCTTCAATATAACCGGCATAACAAAGAAACCACAAAAAGAGATCGGAAATAATAAGTCCATGCTCAGTCCGGCCCAAAAACGCCAGGTTTACTCTAGGAAAAAATCAGCAAGCCAAAAAGATGAAATCAAGTCACGCGCCGCCGTATTTACCTTGCAAGTTTTAGCCCGGAGAAACTCTAAAAATCCGATAAGATACTTTTCAAAAGATAAAAACCTAAATAGCTACAGTAACAATGATGTACAAGCAATTTAGACCAAGTTAGCTTTGATTTCTGAGGAGCTTGAGCACGAGCAAGCTTCGAAACACCCTTATCAGCAATGCTAAGGAAATTGATATTAAATTAGAAAATAATCATTGACATGACCAAACCTTGCCGCAAACACGTCCGTTTTGCCAGAAGACGTCATATCTTGCCCAGAAAAATATCGGAACACTTTTTGAATCTTTGCCCCAAGTTTCGTGGTATTTAAGAGATGAAAAATCTTACCGCGTTCTACGCTTGATTCTGAAGCTATTATAATGTCTTCGAAAAGATTTTTTTGCTCAGAACATTGAAAACGCCTCAAAAACTCATATGAAAAACATTAGGTACGAAGCAAACAGCGTTAAAGGCTAAAAAATGACTTTTTCGTTTTGTCCGGATAATCCTGAGACACCCTGTATAACGCAACAAATTAAGTATATCTTAGTGTTCTTTGCATACCTTAAACGATAGCCCCCTCGGTGGATATAGAATCGTTTTATCAAATGTAAATGGAAATTTCACAGTAGCACTTGGAAAGTATGCTCGACTGTAAAAGCTGGAAACCTGCAAAAACGTAAGCTCATATTAGCCGAAGCGTGCTTACAACCAAGCCTTGAAAGCTCAGGGTTCCCAATATTTGCAAGAACATTGACCCTAGCAATTTTGGAGGCCAAAAATGGACTGGAAATTCCAGACACCCGGTGACGATGTGGCTACCTAGCTACTCGGTGGTAAAAGGTAAAAAGCCGTGAGATTTATATCTGGGTACGAAAATATCACATTTCCAAAAAGCTCAAAGCACAAAGCGATCTTTGTAGGGGAACAGCGTAACCGTGTCGGAAGTTTTTATTTTATGATTACTTCAACTATGGGTTTCTAAGCTCAAGGTTTTTTATGAAGTCAGCTGTACAATTTATTGTCTAAATCTTAATATTACGTAGTTATAACCATTTCCGGCACCAAGAGATTCAATGCCTTTGGGCGAAGCGATTCTTGGCAAAAATGCGATACGGTGCTGCTTGGACCGTCTGCCCGAACGTTTTCTTCATGCTCGGCTTTTCAGAAGCCGTGATCTAAAAGAAATCTTATTAATTTTCTCTATCTCTTTGTTTCTCGCTCACTCAATCTCTGTCACTCACTCACACTCTCTGTCTCGCTCTCTCTCTCTCTCTCTGTCGCTCTCTCGTTCCCTCTCCTTCGAAAGTATTCAGAAATTTCGACAAAACTCACCTCAAACCGATGGAATAAATTGGCGAGGAAGAGGAACAACTCGATCCTTGCCAGCCCCTCCCCAACACATTGTCGTTTTCCGATAGAAAACGGAATCAATTCTTCACGTCTTCTGAAGGACCCGTCGGCATTTAGGAATCGAGATGGATCGAATTTATAGGGCTCGGGGAAGTGCTGAAAATTGATAGATGATAGCCGCAAAATTTTTCAGTAGTTTCTAGTACTTACCTTTTCATCATACATCACACAAGAAATCTGTGGAACTATGGAAGTGCCTTTGGGGAGTGAATAGCCATTAATGACGACGTCCTCTGTAGTAGCGTGGAATAGGTTTTGAGGTAGTAGGTTGCAGAGGCGTTGCACTTCCTGAAAACTTGAGCTATGAGCTTCATCTCTCTCTCTCGCGCTCTCTCTCTCTCTCTCGCGATCTCTCTATCGCTCTCTGTCACTCTCTCTCACTCACCGACTCACTCTCCTTATCTCTCTCACTCTTTCTCAATGTCCATCTCTCTCTCTCTCTCTCTCTCTCTCTCTCTCTCAACTTACGCATATCACAGCATTCAAATACGGCAGGCTATTCTTGTCGCTCATCTCCACCCTCCGGTCCGATTTGATCTTTTCATCGAGCTCCTGGTAGATCTTTTTCTGGACCTCGGGGTGGTTCACGATATAGCATACGCCCCAGGTGAGGGTATTTGCGGTGGTTTCCATACCTGAAGTCTAGTTTTTATAATTACTTTTTATGCTATTTAGACAAATAAATATTTTTGAGACATTTTTAAGGTAGTCGATTAGATAAAAAAATAAATTTAAGGTATTTAGATGATTTGAAGCAGCAGAAGAGATACAGGGGCTTTAAAAGGTATATTAACTCACCAGCCACCCATAGGTCAAACACAAGGTTGAGGAGTTGCATTTCACTAAAAAACATGGTAGAAAAATCCGTAAGGTTTGTAGATACCTATAAAACTCCTCCGATTCCGTGCCTTTCCGCTTCGAGCGTTCTTTCAGGAAGCATTCCACGAAGTCATTCGGCTCCTAAGAGTAGATTAAATCAGTACGCTACGGTGAGAAGCGATTTAAGCGATCGTTTTTCATTGTTTTTGATACGTTATATATTAAAATAAGAAATTTAATTAATCAAAAAAGTAAAAAAAGTCATAATACCTCATCCAAATCGTACTCCTTTTCTTTAGTCGCGATCTGCTTCCGGAAGTAGTTGAACAGCAAGTCGCGATACCCAAAAAGACGCTGGCACGCCGCTGAAATGGAAAATATACTTCAAATATACCTTATATGCTTAAATAGAATTGGATACATACTATTAAAATACGGCAAATACCGTAGCCATGGATACAAAATCAGCAAGAAAAGCTTTGGGTTCATGAACTCCTTCATTTGCTGTGAAATGGAGCCTTTGACAAAGAAGAACTCCTCGAGTTTGTCCTAAAAAGCGGATCATTAAATATATAAAGATTATATAAATTTACTTAATACTCTCATAAATTCTTTAGCAAAAATTGAGTTTAAAAAGCTACAAAAATTGCTTAAAACACTTACCTCGTCATACCGATACCCGAAAAGTATATTGTTAATGATGGAGCCAACGGAGATGTCGAATTCTTTCTAAAAGTGGTTTTATTTAATTTGATCGTATTTTAAAACATTTCCTATTGTTCTACGATTATTTTAAGACAAGATATGATGATTACCTGCATTTCGAAGCTATCCACCTGCTTTTCCAGGCGCTCCAAAAGGTACTCCACCTCAAGCATTACCTGGAAATTTGTAAGATCAATTGTGCTTGCATTATTTAATTCTATTTGTTAATTTTTGTAAGCGGATATAGTTTGTACCCGCTCCTCCATGATATTTTTGCCCATTCCGAAATCTCGAAGAGTATGCAGAGTAAAGCTAAAAACCAAATTTAATAATTTTGCAACTCTTCTCACCGCCTCTGGTCCCTCCACAAATCCCCCCGCCGTCTCGACGACACCGTAGTTGCCTCCTAAAAGGTGCTAATTTGCATATCTAATTTCTGACAATTCTTATTTTATGTCCTAAAATATTCTCAGGATATTAAAACTTCTAGAACTGCACGTTACGCTATGACTACATGCTACAAACTACAAACCTCGATACATTTTCGTCATCTCCAAATTATTAAATCGACCGGCGTATTTGTCGGCATCCTGGATAAAGGTTGCTTGTATCGTAGCGTAGTCCGACACGGCAACCATTGGCCGAGAACCTAAAAAATATGGTGTTCTGAAGTTGTTAATTCAGAGCATAGGCTATCTATAGGTCTTACAAGGAGTCGCTTTTAAGTGCTTTTGGAGTTTCGGGACGGGACCTAGCTAGTTCGATAGAGAAAAAAAATTCTGAGCAACATACCATTTTCAAAAAGTGCTGATCGATAAAGGAATTCTAGAAAATTTAATTTAAAGTTCGCGATTTTTTTCTAGTTTTCGGGTCCATTTCCTCGATTCGCGTCGTTGTCGGGGCTTGGCCGGACACCATTCATAACCCTCCGCCAAGGCGTCCATCACAGGTTGCATTGGCGTATTGGTAGCGCGCTTGCTTACCAACTTTTTAACATTTTTTGCCTCGGGTTCGAATCTTCGCGCTGGCTAACCCTTTGATTTTTGTTTCTTGAACCCGTTAGCGGTGCCTAAAATTTTAATTAGCAAAAAAGCAAAGAGTTAACGATAAATAAGAATCGAACTTGTGGCAAAAGGTAAAAAAAAAACTTCGTAGGCCAACGCACTAGCCACTTGGCCATGCCTGGGACGGGATCCATGACGCGTGAAGTCCCCATGTGGCAGGGGCGCTCGACCCCCGTAAATCACCTCACAAGGGTGCCGATACTGGGAACATTTTTAATTAAATTCAATTTTCTAAAACACCTTTATCGGTCAGCACTTTTTGAAAATGGTATGTTGCTCAGAATCTTTTTCTCTATCGAACTAGCTAGGTCCCGTCCCGAAACTCCAAAAGCACCTAAAAGCGACTCCTTGTTAGGTCATTTACCGGTATTTTGATTTAAACATAGCTTTTGGAAGAGTCAAGAGGAAGGCAAATAAGATTTTAAAATCGCTTGAGAAGTTAAAGAAGGGTCCGAGATGTTTTATGAATAAAATGAATTGTTAAACAAAATAACCTAAATTTGTTGTAAGGTATCGTTTCCATACCTAGCCAATAAGTGTGGACTGGTCCGTATTGGTTTGTCCATTTCCTATAAGCCTCATAGCCGGGCTCGTTTCGCATAACCTCCAGCAAGTTGCCGATGAATGGTAGTGGAATTGGGCCTGAAAAACAGTATGCTAATCTTTAGATTTAATACAATTTGGTTGCTAGAATTGATTATATCCGTTATTTTTAGCTTTTTTCGTTTGGTATTAAACATGAAAATTTGAATTTTTACAACTTTCACATTCAAAAATCACAAGTTAAATAATAACATCTAGGTTCTGAGATTTTTAACATAATCAAGAAATAATATACTTTATTTTAGAGTGTACAAAATGATTTTAAGGCGTTTGCGGTAAGTAAATGTATGAAATTTCCGAAAATAGCTATTTTTAGTAAATATATTCCCACTGCTTACCTGGTGGCAAATTCCTCCGCTTCCAATAAAGTTCATAAAACAAAAATCCAAGAATTACGGCAGTAAATATTAATAAAAACATGGAAAATAAAAAATATAGGTCTTTTGACTGGCAGATACCGCGCAAGGTCGAACGGAACACGAAATGATTAGCGGGCAGACCGCTGGACTGGGCACCCGCTATATTGACCCAGAGATACCGAGAGAGAGCAGGGAAACAAGCAAAAGGTTGAAGGAAATGGAAGGAAAAACCATTTGTAATTTGTGCCGCTTTGTGATCAGTGCGGTTCTAGTATTGTAGCGGAACCCTGACCAAGAATTGCTCAACTGCCAGGTGTATTTCCTGAAAAGCCGGGACTTGGACTGGAGTTTTGGAGGCCTGTAGTTGAAAGTTTAACGAGAGTCCTTTGGTCATTAACAAAATATGATAATTTCTATTATTATGGGCTGCGACATTTTCCCCGAGAAATTCTGACCCGCAACCTCGATTTGCCAGCTACAGCTGCTTGCCCCGTCATTCGCCCGACACGCGCCCCACCTGGCCCACTGAACAAGGGGTCCTATATAACCCCCAAGCGAGCCCTCCTCTCTCGGTCAATGGTCCGGAGTCGGCGGGTTATCCGTTCAAATCCCCCGTCGGCAACCACTCGACTTTGGCCTTTTGCTTGTTTTGGCAAAAGTTGGGCCTCTTTTTTTAGACAGGTTGTAGAGAGGATGAACTGGTCCTTCTGCCTTTTTGAATCGCCCGGAACGCTACTCCCTGAATATTAGGTTGCAGCATCTCTGTATCGGCCACGAAAGCAACGGCAAGAAAATTGAGGTTGTATACCATGAAAAATGATAAAGAGTCTGATAAGAAGCTTCGAGAACTGCCTCTCAACAGGGCTGGCGAGTAGACCAGGGTATTCCACGTCCCATCGAATATTTTGCGCCAGAAAATAACCCTGGTAATATAAGGGCCACCCGGTGGATGATTAGCGCTTTGCTCGCCTATTTGGTCTGCTCAACCTGACTGCTGAAATAAGGTAATAAGAATTTTTGGTGACTTTCTTTTGGCTCTCTGTTAATATTGGGTTGACTTATCAACCGCCGCGTGGAATCTATCCACTTTAACAGATGGCCAACGGGCAGTGGCCAACTCTGCACAAGTTCAACATCTTCTGCCCGTCTCGCACCCACGCCTCAAACGCGTATCACACTTGGGTCTTTGCCAAGGTTACCAGGGATGTGGTTGAGACGAAGGAGGTAGGTGGATCTCGGTGTAGCTCTGGAATGTCTTGTGCCTCTTGAAACCAATTTTCCGGTTTTTAGGTGGTTGACGAGATCAAGATTGCCATCGAGCGGGCTGTCAGCGCTGGCTACACGCATCGGGGTACGTTTGCTAAATCAAAACGATAACGCCATTATCACAAAAACCTAGAGGGTTTCCCCACTACTGTGAGTCCCTCATAACCACTTAACATGCACGGTAGGCGGAAGATTCGAAAAACTACCGTATATTCCTATACCATTTGAATTCCAGTGAAGACAACCCAGACACCCCTGGACACCGTCACCCATTTCACGGCCGTGCCGCCGAGGGTCTCCCAAGCGTTCGTCATGAAATGCGCCGACTCGAAATATGTCACGATATATCGATACGACGGTGACGGGATGCCGAGGTTCGGTTTCGTGGAAGGCTTATTTTGTCATTTGTTTAGAACGGTGGCGCTTGGGCATCCGGTGGGCTGCAACGAGAGCGTGATCGTGGCCGCTGATGGCGCCATCCGGACCGCCAGGATGGGCTCGCTGTTCGAGGATAGCCATGGGAATCAGCATTAATGATACCTGATAAAGTATGGATTTAATCACGTAGACGCACTAGAACGGTATTTGAAAATTCGGTAGATACCATCTACAAATACAAGGATAAAGAGCCGAGGTATCTGGCTGGATCTATGTATCATATGGTTGGCAAAAATCCAACCGATTACTCTATGAAAACTTGGGAGTGAGGGAGAGGATAGTGAGAGAGAGCGTAGGAGAGAGCGAGGGAGAGAGAGTCAGAGAGAGTGAGAAAGAGAGAGAGGAAGAGGGAGAACGAGCGAGGCAGAGGCATTGCATGCCTTGAATGGATGCCATGCCCTGGTTTTTTAAATCGGATGTTTTTGGACCTTAATTTCGTTGTTCAATGGAACCAATTTTCTCAAATTTTTAGCTGGTTTTTTTGCGAGTTTTACCATTGGTGTGTCAAAGCAGTACACAAAGTATCATTCAAAAAATTCATTACGCAATAGCCATAATATTATTAGAAAATTGCAAAAGTGATAAGGCTGATTGGCAGGACTAGTTGTTGCACGTGGAGGTGGCTGTCGTGTTTAGCACTTCTCCTTCTCGCCCTTGACCTGAAAAACGAGGTTTCTAGTTACTTTTTGAACTTGAAAACAAAGTTTTCAAATATATTTATTTAACGTCGAATTCTCCAAATTCTGCAAAACCTACGTAGATGTCGAGGTTGACGTAGGTCATGTCGTAGGGGGCGGCGTCAATGTGCGTCTGGGGGACCTCGTACTCGCCGATGCGGGCGCAGCCCTAAAATTTTGATTTAAATACTGCTTTTTTAACACATTTAATAACTTTTTAACTTCAAGCGGAGGTTGAAGCTCCTTTACACAGCTTTTAAAGGAACCATCAAGGCAAAAACTCTTATGGATTGCTTAGAAAAACTTTTTAAAATCACTATGCATAGTTTTACACCATCGAATTTTGTGAATATAAATTTTGATATTGCTTAAAAGATACCTATAACTTTATCCATATCACCGCTTTTCCGGCCCCTTTAAAAGCCTAGTGAAGGCAAAAATCTGCGCAAAAATTCCTTCATTTTAAGGGAGTTAGGAAGGCAAGCATACCTCCTTGGTGTTGCAGTTGTGGGTGATCCTGATGAAGGGCTCGATCTTGCCGACCTCGTCCTCTCCTCCGGTGATCTCGAACTCGCCCTCGCTGTTGGTGGTGACAGTGGACAGGAGGTCGTTCGGGTCAACTAAAAGATGTAAATGCATATCTACATATCTCTCCTCTCTCTCTCGCTCTCTCACTCTCGCTCTCTCTCTCTCGCTCTCTCTCCAGCTAAAAACTTACGGGTGTCACGGTCGAACAGCTCGACCTTGACGTTGGCGAGGCGCTTCTTGTTGCAGATGGTGACTCCCTGAAAAAAAACCAGATGAATAACTTTTCTTCTAAGTTAAATCAGATGGCTTTTAGTGTATTCATTTACACTAACCTAAATATTCTAAGGATTAAACAACTACAGAGATTTTAAGAAATCAGCATAGTTCAAAACATTAAAAAGGACGCTTTCAAAAATGTGGAAAATACGCTGTTTAAGTTTTTAATCCTACAGTACCCCAAAAAAATAAATTTATCAATATCGCTTAAAATACTATTTCATTCTAAATTTAATACGCATAAGGAATTTTCAGGAATCAAATTTTGGTCCCAAGCCCTGTAAAAGTCCCTCAAAATGTATTATAAAAATTATGTTTGTAAAGCACATTTATTTAGTTAATGCTTAATCTAATCAAATATTATTTTTAATAAATCGATACCTTAACGGAGACGCTCTGCATCTTGGCCTCAATCAGGCACAGGGCGGCAGCCAGCACGAAGATCGGCAGAAGGGCACGCATCTTTCTATCTGCAATTTTATTCTTTTTCAACGGGTTTTTCAATAGAAATCTGTCAACGAGAATGCATGGAAAACAACGAAATGGCACATATTGTATAGAATTCTGAAGCACCAAAGGTACAGCAATATGGTACAGCTGGGGGTGGAGGGAGGAAAGTCTCGGAATTTAGGAGAATCCCGAACAAATTCGGGTTTACATGCACTTCTCCTTCTCGCCGGACACCTAAACGTATCCAAATTATTAAGTGGATTTTGGATTTGAATACCGCAATATCGAGGGTGAGGTACGTCATGTCGTAGGTGCCGTCGATCTTCTCTTGCGGAACCTCGAAGTCACCGATACGTTGGCAGTACTGAAATGGAGGGTAACGTGCAGATCTAATAGCATTTTTCGAGCTCTTTCCCTATCTCACTATGGCTCTCTCGTCTCTCTCTCTCTCTCTCTCTCTCTCTATCTATCTCTCTCTTCCTCTTTCTCTTACTCTCTCGCTCTCTCTCTCTATCTCCCTATCTCACTATGTCTCTCATCGCTCTCTCTCTCTCCCTCTCTCTCTCTATCTCTCTCGCTCTCTCCCTCTCTCCCTTTCACTATACCTCTAATTTGACTTTAATAAAATTTGCAGGCTAGTAAAATTTAATAGTTTAGACTGGTATCTACATAAAATTTAGTTTTAGCTGCACGAAATACGATTTAAGATATTGTTTTCCCAAAAACCCAAGGAAGCCGGCTGGGCGAAAAAAGCACGTGGCTAGGTTGTCCGTATACTTCTGGAGCCATTCGCTTAAAGGTACACTAACGTCTCGTTGGTTTGGTTACCGGCCGGTAACCGTCCGCGGGATAGCAAACAGGGTTACGGTAGGCGCTTGCCGCGGAGCAAAACCGAAACCGGACCACTCGCGTGGGGCAAGCGCCATAGACCAATAGGCCATGGGAGAGACAGGGGAGGGGAGGCGGAGAGGGGATATGAAGGGTCGGTCCATCCAACGACAAAGGGACCAAATTCCCGACCACGAACTACTTTTTAAGCGAGATTTTAGTGTACCTTTAAGGATGCTTCAAGCTTCCCGCGCTCTCTCTCTCTCTCACTCTCTCTCTCTCTCTCACTTTCTGTCACTCTCTACCTCACTTGCCGTCTCTCTTTCTCGCATCTCAGAAAACTTACAGGCTTGGTCTTGCAGTTGTGGGTGACGCGGATGAAGGGCTCAATCTTTCCGACCTCGTCCTCTCCACCAGTGATCGTGAACTCGCCGTCGCCGTTGGTGAACACGGTTGAGAGGAGGTCGTTCGGGTCAACTACAATAGAATCACCATTTTCTACTCATTGATACTTTTCTCGCTCCCCTCTCTCTCGTTTCTCTCTCTCTCTCTTTCTACTTACGGGTATCACGGTCCCACAGCTCAATCTTCACGTTGGAGAGGCGCTTCTTTTGGCAAACGGCGATTCCCTAAAACTATGAAAAATCTGGGCTCAAGATTACTGTAAATAGTTTTCTTACAGTTTGCGTATCTTCCTAGCAACAGTAATGTAGCAGGAAAGGGCACCCTAAACACCTACCGTAACCGTAACATTTTGCATGCGGGCCGACACTTCCAGGAGCGCGGCGGCGAGGAGGCACAGCGTCAACAGCAGCTTCATCATTTTTGGGCTATAAATACGGAGTTGTTTTGGCGCCGGAAAATGGCTGCGAGACTGTACGATAAACAGTTGATGGAAACGGGGAAGTGGAGGGCAAAAATCGGAGAGTGGAGCCTGTGGGGCACTCAGGATCCGACAAAGAATTCGGGCAGCCTTCATAAATTGTTTAGAAATCGTTGGATCGGGGGAAATTGTTATGTCTGGCATATGGATGGGGGAGTGGGGAGTCGGAAGTCACGAGGAGGAGCTATTAAAATTGTGATCAAAAATTGAGAGGAGAGCGGGAGTGAGGGAGAGAGAGAAAAAGAGAGAGAGAAAGAGAGTGGTCCAAACATAAAAAATCCAAAAACGCATATTACTGGGATTACGGTAGGTATCGGCAAGCTTTAAAGTCCTTAAAGAAATTTTTTCGATTTTTAGAAACGCCTAAACACCTAACACTATTTTTCATGCTATTTTATACCTTAATAAGAAGTTAAAAAATTGTAAAAATGAGCTAAACCCTCAAAAATCGAATATATAAAATCATTATAAATTAAAAAACATAATAAATCTGAATTAAATGTTATATTTTATAAGCTTTATCACTCCCGCTAAAATTGCTAAAAATTTCTATCCTTATTAAGTTTTGTTTTTAGGTTATTCTCGGCCTGGGAAACTAAAAACTAAAAATACAAGAAATTTAGTGTACGGTAGATAAAAGCTCGAGCTCGAAGGTGTGAGAATGAGCCTCCCTGCCCTGTCGTCAAGACACCAGGACCCTGATTACAGCCGGCCCGATAAATGGCCGCGGATCTGGGGACCCAGGGGCCTTTTGAATGGGCCAATCCCATAAATTACCGCTTTCTCTCTCTCTCTCTCTCTCTCTCTCTTCAGACAAACACCGAAAAGCCTCGAAAACACCGAACAAACTCCTCCCCCTTAGACCCCCAGGGCGACTTTCGCGAAAATATAAACAACCCAACTGTCTTTGGGCACTTTTCGTTTATTTGTTGGGTTGACTCATCGACCAAAGTTTACAAATCCCGGTGGTGAGGTGGCAGTTGTTAGGGGCTTGAGGTAGATGATGGATGAAATTCGGAAATTGGGAGTGGAAAAATAGGGCAGTGAGGTCACTGGACTCTTTAGGAAGCTGAGGAAACAGCTAGATCGGCTTGCCGGCACGCACGCTAAATCGGGTTTAAAGGGACTAAGAAACCAAAGTATCGATATGAAGCTTGACTAGGTGACGACGGATACGTTTAATTTAGATCAATTAAGTTGAGGAATGAGAGAAGAAATGTAGGTGCGGCGGTGGTGGAGGCAATAGTTGAAGGTAGAAAAAAAACTAGTGAAAAATGCTTGAGAGCTGACTTGCTCCTGGTGAAAATTCACTTTGTCGAAGTTTCTGTTTGATATCTATTGTGTCGATATTTTATTTGCAAATCTCAATTTTGACCTATTGCAAATCACAAAACACTACCACGACTGTATATCTTTGGATAGGTTTAGTAAAAAACAAAGGCTAAACGAGTAACCAGAAAAAGAGCTTTGAAGTGAAAAACTGATCTTGGGGCAGGCTTCAAAACCGGTCTGGAATGTGAGGACCGTTGCCAAATGTGCGCTTTTATCCTGCCAGTATACGGCCAAAAGTTTGTACTCGCCGGCAGACCGGCCAAATCCCTTTTTTAACCAACCGACGGATCGGTCGCGCACCCAGATGCAAAACAAGCATGACGAATCATGGTCTGGAGGACTATTCTGAACAAAGGACGCTATTGAAATCGATTATTAGCCTAGACGGATCATTTAGTCAAGGTAAATCTTAGTAATTCTGCGAAAAAATTAGCTTATGAGCGTCAGAATCCTAAAAAAATCGAAGAGAAAAACAGGAACGCTCGGAATGTCTTCTTTCAAAGTATTGCAGAGAGCTGCCGGCTTTAAGGTAGCTACAGCCCTCAAGATGCAGACTTGCAAACGCTTTTGTATTCCCATTCCTGCAACGCATCAAAATATTTGGCTCAAAATTTTTAGTGTACTCCGCAAATCGGTGCCCTATCGTCAGCTGTCGATGTTATTCAACGGTCGAGTTTTCGATAGGGGCGGAGGATAATTGGCTGTTGTTCAAAGGGTCGACGAGGATAGGAGGACGATCACACTCGAAAACGTTAGCAAGCGAGAGAGAGACAGAGAGAGAGAGAGAGAGAGAGAGAGAGGAGAGAGGGAAAAAGCGTGAGGGAGAGAGAGAGAGAGACAGAGAGAGAGAGAGAGAGAGAGAGAGAGAGAGGGAGAGAGAGAGAGAGAGAGAGAGTGAGAAAGTCAGTGAAGAGAGATGGAGAGACATGTACGTTTGATCGTGTTCGAAAGTTACGCGCCAAGCTATAGTAATATAAAGTGAGGTTCCTGGAGTTACCAAACTTCCATGTAAAGCGAAATTGTCAAAACTCGCAGTTGTCGAGGCCCAGTTATTCCGCGGTCAATTCTTCGGCTTAACAGACCCTTTAAATTCAGATCCAGGTATTCGAGATGAAGGCGGAAAAGAACCCCTTAAGTTGCTTGCTGCCGACATGGCTTTCTGGTTAGCACATCTCCTTCACCCGATATTCTTGGCTCCTCGAGTCGTCACAAAGCTGACTCATGCCTGCTCCATTGTTCTCACTGTCACCTCCGCATCCGGTCGCCCGAATTGAGTGGCAGCTTCGTTTTGTGTATCCCTGTGTTTATACCAGAAACGCTCCAGGGTATGTGCTATTTTCAGGCGGCACCGGAAAACGTGCCCCATCCAGGGCGTCAGTTGGCCCCAATCAGCAGAGTCCGACGATCACATGGGGGGTGGAGTGAAAATGTGTGTTGGATGTTTCAGAAAGGGAGAAACTCACTCTCTCTCTCCCTCTCTCTCTCTCGCTCTCTCTCTCTCTCTCTCTCTCTCAAGTCCTTTTTGGCTAGGTCGCGGGATTTATAGCCCTCGGGGGCACTTGGCGCCTGTTGCAGCTTGGCCCTTGGAACACCAGAATATACACTTTAGCATGAAAATAGCCCAGATTCCGAGTGTTTACTCTTTACACTGTATACAGTATAGACCTTCTTTTTGTATTACTCGTTAAATATACCTTAATATAGATAGCGACTTTTCAGAACCCTTGAAGATGAACGCTTTGAGCCTTGCTGTCGCCGCCTGCCTGGCCATGGCCACTTACGCTGAGATGCAAAATGTTACTGTTAAGGTACGATTTCCATACTTTGCACGTGGTAATACTACGGTAATGGGTTATACCGTAGTAGAATAGATCTTGAAACGTTTAAAAAACGGAGTTTTAGGGAGTAGCCGTCTGTGATAAGAAGGTTCTTCATAACGTCCTCGTGGAGTTGTATGAGAAGGATACCAGCAAGTTTTATTTAGCATAACTTTTTCTGGTTCTCTCCTTCTCTCTCTCCCTCTCTCTCTCTACCTCTCTCTCGCTCTCTCGCTCTATCTCTCTCTCGCTCTCTCTCTCTTTAGACAAAAAAAATCAGCAACTTTGTTTAGTGAATCCCGACGATCTCCTCGCCCACATCCACACCAACGCCAACGGCGAATTCCAGCTGTATGGTGAGCACGACGAGGTAAGCTGCGACATATATGGAAGTCAACGCTTAACAAAATTTGAAAAGCAAATTTAAGCAAATTTTAAATCTAGAATTGAGCGGCTTTTTAGTCCAACTCATATTTGGCGCCTGCCATGATTTAGGAAATTTGGCAATGTGATGTGCCAAAATTCTAGACGATGAAAAAGTTAAAAGCCTATTTGTGCCTTTAGAGGCCTAATCAAAACCCCTTTCCAGGCCGGCTACATCAGGCCGTACCTCCGTGTCCGACACAACTGCCACGCCAAGCCGGTGGGTCTAACATTCTAGTATTTATACATTCTAGTCTAAACATTCTAGTATCAAGAAGTTTTGTTCTTCGTATTTTGTAATCCAAAAAAATTGTGTTTTCTGCGCCTGAGGTCCCAAGCCATTTTTGTATTTCAGAACTGCGCCCGCATCGCCGAGTACCAGATCCCGCAGTCGGCCCTTGGAGGTAAGATTTGAAACTCAGAAGATATCCTACTATATATAAAAAAATAGTGTCTGTGTGTGTAGACACTTTGCATAAAAACCCGGGTTCCAGCCATAACTCGAAGGGAAAAGAATTTTTTGGTCCAGAAATAAGGTAGTTAGGGGTAGTTGAGGGCGTAGATTACTGCACGCTTATCAGATTTTTACTAAAATTTTGTTTTATACCTTATTTTAACGGTTTAAAAACATATGGAAATAGACTAATTTGCATATGAGGCGCTAGGAGCCTCATTCTGGCTTTTGTCGCGCTCGCGGGCGGTTGCTTTTGCTATTTTTAGGGTTCGCTCTAGCTCTGGCCCGAATTATGCAAAGCCCAACTTTTCAAGATCCCTGCGCAAAGGCCAGGGGTGAAAAGCCGCGTAGCGGCTTTTCAACCCTGGTATCAATCTAAATAGTCTAAAAACTTTTTCAAATCGTACTAAAATATTTGTTACCGTACAAAATTATAAACCTCGGCGACATTCAAATTTTTTAGACGTCTACGACATGACCTTCTTGACGCTCGACATCAAGGTGGCGGGAGAGACGGAAGTCTGCTAAAAATTTAATATGAATCCATGATTCTGTATTTTGTATTTTGCCCGAATGTGATGTACCGATTTTTACTAAAAACCAAAAATAAATAAAATTAAAAATACCACTGGCGCATAGATAAAAAAACCAAAAATCGTGATAGGACAATGATTTTTGGCTCGAAAAAGTGCTTACACGCTTCAACTTTCTCTCTTTCTCTCTCTCTCTCTCTCTCTCTCTCTCTCTCTCTCTCTCTCTTCTCCCTCTCTCTCTTTCGCTCTCTCGCTCTCTCTCTTTCCCGCTCTCTCTTTTCCTTTGTTCCAAAAATAGCGACTACTTAGGGTGTTTGGTGGTGTGTTTGGTGTCTTCAAAGGTCCATGGTCCTCCTCCTCTCAATTGCCCTGTGGCAGCAGCTGTTTCACGACACCGTAACCGGGAGGCCCATGCCCTGTTGGGGCGCAAATTGATGGCCCTCACCGTCGATCGGTTCGGCACGGAATGTAAACAAGCAGCAGCCTCGCCTCTACTGGCCCCCCAATGGCCATGTTTCGCTCTACCGGAAAAATATCAACAAAGAATGGAAGGGGCCGGGGGATCGGATGGTTTTCCGGGAAGAATCGGGACTGCGGAGATTGAAAAGAATATACAGTTTGAAATGGCAAGCTGAAGGGAAAAAGCCGTTAAAAAGTCGGCTTTAAAGCTGGCGGAAGGCGTCATCGACTCTCTAAGCCGAGAAAACTAGGAAAATCTAAGGCGTGACATACTTGAAGCTTAATTTACGATGCTCCAGACCCGAGGAGATCAGCTGCCGTTGTGACAGACAGACACATTATGACAGTCCGTCATCAGCGCATGGTTTTTTCGCAAGTTCGATTTCGAAGAAATCACATCTTCACACCGATAATACACGTTTTTTTTTTGCTTTTCTGTGGTCTTTACGACAAAGCCATCTTGCTTCACTCTGATTTTTCCATCCATTATCATAAAAGCTGACCCCTGTCCACTCAGGTCTTCGCTTTTCATAAAATTCTAAAAAATCCGTATTTTAAATATGCTTTAAATGGTCCCTTCGACTGGAGTCATGTTAGAACGTTTCGACAAGCCTTTCGTTGCCGCTTTCTCCTTTTCCACCATCGATGATTTGATGAATGTGATGACTGGAAGTGTGGAGAGAAATGATTCAGAATGCCGACGATTGCTCCCCTCCCAGCCCACCACCCACCAAAATTAATACACTTCCACATTTTCTGCTTTTATTCCTAGAATTATTTGTTGGTTAAAACTTTATGTTCGAGAAATTCGTTTGCTTCAGCGATGGACATAAGAAAGTGAGCAGTCTTCCCCGAAAGAGAGAGAGAGAGAGAGAGAGAGAGAGCGAGAGCGAGAGAGAGAAGTGAGCGAGAGAGAGCGCGAGAGAGAGCGAGCGAGATAAATAGACAGTCAGAGAGACAGAGAAAAAGGAGAAAAGGGAGAAAAGAGAGAGGAGAGAGAGAGAGAGAGAGAGAGAAACCGCCAGTTTCCTAGGTCGATTACGTCCTGGTTTATGAGGCTGATGATATGGCGGAAACGAAAGCAACTAAATCGGACCCAAAAATTTCTCACCCGAGTGGGTCTCAGAAAAATCGCGGAATAAAACGTGATTGCTTCCTGAAAAATTTGAAAGCGATGGGGTTGCAGACGGAAACACATATTGCACAGGTGAGAGAGAGAGATGAAGAGAGAGAGAGAGAGAGAGAGAGAGAGAGAGAGAGAAATAGTAACATTTTTAGCAGGGCAACTCCACCTTTATCCTAATCCATGCCCCATTCGAGCTCCTGGAAAAGCAGGCAAAGTTGATGCTCGTCAAGTTGCCAGTCCGAATCAGTGACGTCGAGGAGAAGGTACATTTCCCTATCTCTATCTCTCTCTGTCTTTCTCTGTCTCTCGAATTCTTACATTTAGGACTCCATCCTCCCTCAGTTCCTCCAACGATTCCTCAAAATCTTCCGATTTTTCGACTTCAACGCCGAGACAAAAGCGCAATTAGAGGATCCGCCGTATTTTCGAGCCCCATATTCGGCAAAACGGAGAAAACAGTAAATCGTATAGCCTAAAAACGCTAGTATGTATAATCCTTAGATTTCTGCTCGGAAAGCACCCAGAGCAGCTCTTTCCGAACGCCGAAAGGTGTCGAATGGTGTATGACTTGTTGATGAGGGCAAGGTAAAGCAGGAGAGAAAGAGAGTAAGAGAGAGAGCGATAGCGAGAGAGAGCGAGAGAGAGAGAGAGAGAGAGAGAGAGAGGAAACTATGGTCAAATTCTGTATGTGACAGGTATGACGCCGCACAAAGTGACCAGAAGGCAGAAGGAACGGATTTCCGCGTAGGAATCGAGCGCCTTTTAGCAAACGGCACGTTCAGCGCCGCATTTCCGATTCATCAGGTAAGAATTCGCGCATAGTTTATTTTCCCATATTGCTCTTTCTCCCTCTCTCTCTCACTCTCTCTGTCTCTCAATCTCTCTCTTTCTCTCTCGCGCCCTCTCTCTTCCAAAAAATTCGTTTAAATACATAGCTTCAGGAACTTCGCCCCAAAGACGCCCAAATTAATGAACCAACCCAAAGAGAGTTACTTCGCGACCATTGGGCCAATGTGTGGAATTTTTACAAAAACCAGCCCCTCGACCTAGTCAAGTAAGAAACACTTCCGATTTTTTTTATTGATTTAGACGCTACTTTGGCTCAAAAGTCGCCCTCTACTTTGCGTGGCTCGGTTTCTACACAAAAGCCCTGCTCCCAGCGTCGATCGTCGGGATTCTGGCCATATTCTTTGGGCTGGTGACAATGGCGGGGGATCCGGTGAGGTAAGTTTTTGACAATCTATTCTTACAACACACTTGTTAGATAATTAAAGAATTAATTCAACAGTTTGAAAAACCTTTTATTTTTATGAGGTTTTCGATTGCGTCTTTTTTAATTGTTATTTATCTGCATATATCATGGGAATCTGTATATTTAGTTCCGAAATCTGCGAAGGGAAAATTAACCACAAAAAAGCGTACCTGTGCGATCAAAAGTCATTGAAAAGCGGATGCGACTACGCCAAAGTAAATCGATGTCTCTCTCCCTCGCTCTCCCTCGCTTTCTCTCCCTATCTGTCTCTTTCGGTCTCTCTCCCTCTCTCCAGTTCTCTATCGCCTTTACTATTTTCAGCTCTCCTACCTATTCGACAACTGGTCTACCGTAATCTTTTCCGTCTGTATGTCGTTATGGGCTACGCTGTTCTTGGAAGGCTGGAAACGGTACCACTCAGCTGTTGCTCACCGATGGGGGTTGATGGATTTCGTGTGTGAGGAGGTGGGTTTCGTAGCTCCAGTACTGTATTTCGTATAGAAAACCATCCGCCCTGATTTCCTCTATCGTATCAAAACCCGACGGTACAATCCTATAACCCAAAAAGAGGAGCCGTACCTGTCGGTGAAGAAGAAGACTGTCAATATATTGGCCAGTGGGGCTACTGTATTGTTTTTTGTAGGTTTTGAACAGCGATTGGAAGGAGAGAGACAGCGAGAGAGAGAGAGAGAGAGAGAGAGAGAGAGAGGCAGAGCGACGGAGAGAGTGAGAGCGAGAAGAAATACTATTTTTTTCAGATCTTCCTCGTCGTCGCCTTTGTCTTTGGCATGATCGTCTACCGCGTGCTTGTCAGAGGACTATTAATGTCGACCGGAGACAGTCAATACGGTTTTGTGCTCGTCTCCGTCACGGCCGCCACCATCAACATGGTCGTCATCGTCTTGATGAGTTCGGTGGGTGGGGAGCGAGGGAGAGAGAGAGAAAGAGAGAGAGATAGAGAGAGAGAGAGAGAGAGAGAGAGAGAGAGAAAGAGAAAGAGAGCGAGATAGAGAGAGGGGCGAGAGAGATCGAGAGAGAGAGAGAGAGAGAGAGAGAGAGAGAGAGAGAGCGAGCGAGATCGAGAGAGAGAGAGAGAGAGAGAGAGAGAGAGAGAGAGGTAGATAGTGAGATAGAGTGAGAGAGTGAGTAATTTTCATATTTTAGCTCTACAACAAGCTAGCCCACCGTCTTACAGTCTGGGAATGCCCACGAACACAACACGATTTCGACAATCAATACACCTTTAAGGTATCTTTAACGGGACTGACTTTTTTTTTAAACTAGTTGTAATATCTATGCAATATACTTAAAACAGTCCCACAGTATTTTGTAGACCAAAGTATCTTTTTTTAGGTCTTCCTCTTCCAATTTGTCAACTACTACTCGTCCCTGTTCTACATTGCATTTTTCAAGTATTCTAAAGACCATTAAACCGATTACTTTTGTAGATTCGAGCCTCGACCGGACGCGAAAAGCGGATTGAGCTTCATGCTAGAAGTCAGCGTTTTAATATTTTTTTTGTATGTAGTGTTTAGACCTGCAATTCGACCGGCTGCTTCATGGAGCTGGTGATCCAATTAGCGATTATCATGTGTGGCAAGCAGTTCATCTCGGCGATCATGGAAACGCTGGGACCGTAAGGATAAAAATATCGTACCGAAAATTTTTTTTTAATTTGAATCAAACGAATTACAGGGTTAAGGAAAATTTTTTGGTGATAGCAATTAAACTTTATCGATCTCCATTTGAATATTTTTAGAAAAATCGCCAAGGAAATTCGAAAACGGCGGCTGGCGAGGAAGGGGAAGAAAACGGATGGCGATGTTTTGAGCGAGGAAAAATCGGAATTACGGTATATTTTAAAGTTCAATAAAATTAGACAAATTAAAAAGTTTTAATCAGATTTTTGTATTTTTATTAAGCGTGTTAAACGTATTTTAGCCAAAAGAAAAGAAATGCAATCTTAAGCTCCTGATTTTAGGTGGGAATCCGATTACTACCTAAAGCCGGTAACCGATCAATTTTTGTTCGAGGAATATTTGGAAATGGGTAATTCTGTTTAGAACATTCTGACTAAATTTGCATTGTTATTTATTGAATAGACTATTATTTAGAAATATAAATCACTGTAAAACTTTAATTTTAGTGCTCCAATTCGGGTTCGTCACGCTCTTCGTCGCCGCTTTTCCCCTAGCGCCACTTTTTGCGCTTCTCAATAATATTTTGGAAATTCGATTGGATGCTTATAAGGTATATTTTATCATAAATTAAATGCTTATTTTTTAATAAATAAATTGATCAAGGTTTTTGCTAATTTTAACCTTGTAGTTTGTCGCCCAAGTCCAGCGCCCACTGCCCGCGCTCGCGAAAAATATTGGGATTTGGCTGCCGATATTAGACAAAATTTCGAAGTTAAGCGTGACTATTAATGTGAGTTAACTAATAATTTAAGTTTAGCAGGCTATTTTAAAGGGATGGTAACACCAATTTCAGGCTCTCGTCATCGCCTTTACATCAGAATTCATCCCACGAGCCTACTATTATTTTACGCACGACAAAACGCTGAAGGGGTATGCATTTTTAGATATTTTATTTATCAAATTAGAATATGTATAGAAATTAATTAATGGGCGGAATTAATTATTATTAAATTCATTAAGTTCATTAAACCTTTATTCTATTCGTTTTTAGCTATGTCGACTTCTCGCTTTCCAATTATACCATCAAAAATATGCCCGCTGAGGAGGACCGAAAATTTTTCCAGGGGAAAAATGTCACTACTTGCAGGTAAGCTAACTTGAACGTCTGTTCTTACGATGTATTTTTGGAACTGATTCATTAGCGGGGGTATACATCGGATCCAGTTACCCCCCCCCCCCCGTTAACTCACCAGGACCGTATTTTTCAGTTACCGCGGATACTACAACGATCAACTAGAGCACAATGAGGATTGGTGGCATATTCTGGCTTTTCGGCTGCTTTTCGTGGTTATTTTTGAGGTCCGCACTATACCATTTATTTAAGCAAATCTCCTGTTTTTAAATTCGTTAACTTTTTTATATTTTCAGCACCTCGTCTACCTCCTCAAATTAATAATAGCCTATTTAATCCCGGATGTCCCGGCAAAAATCGTCATCCAGCAACAACGCGAAAAATACCTGGCACGCCAGGCGTTGATCGCCCAGGGGCCGAATGTGTAAAAAAGGCTGTGATTTGAATAAATGTATTTTATTTTAAGATACAAAATTTAAAAGACATACAAAGAAGATTATGAAAACTATTCTCGTATTTTTTTCTACTACTACTGATTACCTTTCCATGAGCTTTAATAATAATTCTAATTCAGCATTAAAAATTGTTAGCTACCAATTTTATTTATTTTGAAAACTAAACCGCTGTTTCCCTGATGTACCTAAAATTTCTATCAAGCCGTTTTTTTATCATTGTTCTAGGCGCATTAATAAGTTTTTTGGTCTAATTTCTCTCATTTTCTTCCCGAATTTTGAGTGCACCTTTCTAGTATTACGTTTGCAAAAAGCGACATGTGATCTTATTAAACGCTATCGTTATCGCTGAACTTGTTGCTCCGAAAATCAAGATGAATAATCGCAAAAGAATCGCTTTTTCCCTGGGCAGCTGACCCCACCCTCCCGCCTCTTCCGCCCTTATAGTTTGTAGTCTGGGTGCACTCTGCGCGTTCTCCGCTCACCCCACCTGCTCGAAGTCGATTCGCGTTTTTCGCGCGTTTTTGCATATTTTTATGTGGGGGGAGAAGCTTGGAAAATGCGGGTTCAATGCCGGTGATCAGCTACGAAAGCCGGCGTTTCCGGTTGTGTTTTCAACCGGGTTTTTAGAGGCTAAAATCAGTCGCTAGCTCGAGAATTGAACAAATTTAGGGGGGAATTTTGCTAATTTTAACCAAACGTCACGAAATAAAACTCGGTCAGCGAATTCTAGGAGTTTTAATGTAAGGTAGGGCTATACAATAGTCTGCTTTGATGATTCACGAGTACCAAATCCCTAAACGTTCTATGAATAAGTTGCCATAGGTACTGATAAGCAGGTTATATAGAGAATTAGTAAGATTTTCAAGTAAACATCGTGAATTTTGGAAAACATATCGTGAATAGGGTTTATAGTGGTTCCTGGGCTTTTTAGTGAAAATTATGACCCTTTTACTGGAACCTTTGATATTTTATGAGTAATAAAAACCCTAACTCTAAGCTATAAATGCTTTAAAGTTTTTTCAAAAGAAAATTACGTTTCTAAAATCTATAGGCTTTTTAGCGAGGGGTAACTTTTTAATGACGTCTTTTGGAAGTTACGCGTAATAAAACCTAAACTTTCCTAGGAAAGTAATGAATTCTGAAAAGTTTATGGCTTAAATAGGAAGGTTAACTTTCTATAAATACGTCGGCCTTTTAACAAAAGGTATAGCTTTTCACTAGCTAATAGCTTTCGATAGCTTACGAGTAATAAAAACCCAAACTTTCCAAGAAAAGCCATAAATTCCTGGTATTTTGTGAAATATAGTGCTTTCGAAGAAACGAAGGGGAAAACTTCCCATTGCCCAGCCTTTATGTATCAAATCCTGGGGCGCTATATTTACACTGGCCCTTTCCTTGTTTTCACCGTTTTCCTCGCTCGTTGTGCGTTCTCCGGCTCCAAAGAACACTCATTTTTCGGCGCCCCTAACCTATGAAGTTTAGATGACGGCCATCTACCAGACCGACCCGTTCGAATCGGCGGCCGGCCCCGCGAGCAAGCATGGGAAACGTTCGTTCTTTTGGAGAAGTTAACGAGAAAAACATGCTTCTAAAGTTAGAAAAAAGACAATAATCTTTTGTCTTACTGAAATGGGGGGAACAGAATTTTGTTCCCGTCGAACCAGAAGCAGAATTTGCAAAGCGAAACGCCTATAAAGCGAAACAAACTAATTAGAAAGGCTAAAAGCTAGAAGAGCGTGAAAATTTTCAAGTTTTGGGCAAAAATCGAAATGCCGAAAACATTTCGTCGAACAAATCGATACTTTACGTGTTTCCGCTTGAATTTTCGAGGTTTATGGATAGTAAAATACGGTAAAAATACACAATTGAACCAGTCTACGACGGCTAATTGCTTTTTTAGCGTACATGGGCCCGTGCTTGATCTGCTGCGAGCCGTCCTATGGAAAACACTACGGCGTCATCGCGTGCCTCGGCTGCAAGACGTTTTTTCGCAGGTTTGTTTCTAGTCTTTATTAACTGCTTTTATACATCTTATTAACTAGATTTTGAGTCATTATTAAACCTATTTTATGTATTAAAAACATCCTCTTTTAGAGCTATCGTCCAGCGCACCAACCAGGAATGCCAGCGCGAGGGCCAGTGCAACACCGAGACCAAGGTCAAGCGAATTTGTCGTGGATGCCGGCTGATGCGTTGTTTTGCAGCTGGGATGAAGCTGGAAGGTAGTTTAATTATCTAAAAAGCCTAAAAATCCTTTTTTTAGCTCTCCAACCTCGCCGCGACCACACCAGCCTGCGCGTTTATACTAGAAAACCGATGAAACGTGTCGTGTTCACTAGAGAAATGGGAGAGGTATGTGTTTTCATAAAACGCTCGAGATTTTGGTAGTAGTATAACAAAATTAACGGATTGTTTTTTTGTAATTTCAAATGATGCAAAAAGATACTGAAAACCGGGTAAAAACACTCAATTTTCAGACAAAACCAAGCGTTAGCGGCGAAGCTGCTCTTGAAGAAGATGGCCCATCACCAGGAAGCAGCACGCCAACACCCCTCGAGGATATGAAATTCGAAAGTGATACGCTGCTCGAGCTGATGCAACGCTTGACGACGATTGATACGCAATGTAGACAGCAGAAGGTTGGAGAAATTCGAAAAACGAGGAGCAGACTGAAATAGTAGTTTATACGCTCGTTAACTTCGACATCACAAAGCGTAAAACTCGTCCAATTACTGTAAAATAACTATTTGTATGATTTTCGGTCTTTAAGCTAACTATTCATTGCTAATACCTGAGTTTTTAACGTGGATAAAGAGGGTTGAATTAAGCCAAAAGTCTATTTCCGCTTTAACGTTATTTATAAAAGCTTTTAGGCAGATAAAAACGTTAAATTTTGTAGGAATAGAGCTAGAAATTGGATGCTTAAATTTCAGGCTTTTTATTTCCTGTAATTTCCGGGTTTTAGGCAGATTGGATCCGTTCTTGGGATGAAGCTCGGAAGCTCGCCCACCGCGAAGGCGACATGGACTATATCGAGATGAATGTAAGTGAATATTGACGTTTTTCCATTGCGTAACTAATTACGCGTCCAAGGCTATATTTTCCTTCCAGGAAGCTGTCGGGCGTCGCATCATCCTGGCCGTAGACGTGCGTATCATCACCGGATTCGATGTTCATGTAAAAATATAATTTTTTATAGTTTTTATCGTTATTTCAGTCAATGCTCGACTGGGTGAAATCGATTCCGGTGTTTAGCAAGCTGAAAGATGCAGAGAAGGAAGTGTTATGCAAGGTATGTAGTTAAAAGTTGGAAAATCAAGAAAAAAAATCGTTTTTAGCGTTTTGCCATGCCGTACCAGATCCTCGAGCACGGCTACTTTACGGCAAAATCGGGCGTGAAGGATGCGTGGTTGTACCCGAATGGCAGCTGTATGCCGCGAAATATGGGCGCGTTGAGTAATCAGGTAATTCGTTAAAAATTCAAAAATATTGAAAATTTGATTTTTGCGTTTTCGTAGGGTTGAAAAATCGTAGAGTTTTGTAATTTTAATTATCTTTGAAAGTTAGCCTCTACATGTTTATTGAGTTTAATTTTAGTTATCTTCCCAGAAGTATTTTTTTAAAAGGCTTAAGCATTCACAAACATCTTTAATTTATTTTATGTATAAATTTTTGTGAAATTGCAAAACAGTCAATTTCCATTATTTTAAACAATTTTATCGAATTTGTGAAACTCTCAAAATTCTGATCGAATTTAGGAACAAATCCCCGAAGACCGGAAATGGCGCCAAGAGAAGCTGTACAAAGAGATGACGGCCACGTGCATTGATGAGGTAATATCCTAATTTCCGTAGAATTAATTTATTAATTTTTACACACGTTCAACTTTAACGAATATTATTATTGCGGTTTGATAGTGCTTGGACTGTCTTGAGTATCGGTCCAGGAGAGTTCTGTCGACGCCTCTTCCGGGGCTCCTCCTTGAATAATTGCAGTTGTGCTCTCACCGACGATAATCGGGGAAGTAGTAACTGTCGGGATTTTGGTGGGGCTGATGATTAGGCCTAAAAATTTGATAAATCGTAGTTTAGTGGAAAAAAAACCCGTTTTTCCTAACGAAGCCGCGCAAATCGGATGGATTTTTCTAATAATCGAATCCACGCTAAAATTACCCTAAAACCTCGTGTATAGGTCCTCCCCGTGTATAGTTCCGGATGAAAATTTTCATGTGTACGGAGCGTCCGTAATTCCGTATGACCGTCATTAGGTGTGTTTCGTTTTTCGGTTTCTTGCAAATAACGCCGCTCACGAATGGTATTTTTACAATTTTGATGGAATATTTGTTCGTATTTCGACTATTTCCAACAATTTGAGTGGTTTAATGAAAGAAATTGCTGCACGAGGCCCTGTGAACCGGCTCTTTTGTCTTACATAGCTTTTGGGCCGAATTGTACCCTACGCACATTATTTGGTGTCATTTGTATTGGTACGGAACCAAATTGTACCGGACCTATACACGAGGTTTTAGGGTAACGCTTTTTTCATTGTAGCTGTTCAGGATTGGACTAACCCCTCGCATGACATGGAAGTTCCTAAAGAATCCTTGCTAGCCTGCCCTACCACGAGTTTCCAATACTCAATTTTTAACGTTTACGCGCAAGCGATCGACCAGTATTTTCGGTGTTAGTTCCCGCTGCTTCTGTAGTTTCTTCTGGCGCTACAGCACTCGATGTCGCAGCTTCCGTCGTAGATGTTTGCGTAGTTCCCGTGGATTCTATGGCTTTTTGCGTAGTTGTAAACGTCGGGTTCAAATCAGCAGCAAAGCCCGTGAGGTTTGGAAGGGGCTAAAAAATTTTTTATATTTTTGCAAGGAGATTTACGATTGGCGGGGCCACGGGCATCGGTTCAGATCGTCCTAGGTCAGTGGAGGAGGGTACCTTAAAAATAATTGTTCCTAGTAGAAAAATCGAAGAAAATTAAACAAAAAAACGTTAAAAAAATATTTTTAAGTACCTCTGGGGCGACTGGGGCAAAACCGGATGTTCCTGGAGGTGGCGGCGCGATCACGGGCTAAAATTGGAGTTATTTTGTAAAATTTAATAGATTTTTTACGGTAGACGGGGCCGGGGCAATAGGTGCAAATGCGGAAGTTCCGACGGACGTAGGGGGCTAAAGGATCAGAAAAATTAATCAATTCAGCGTTTGTCAACTTTGAGTACAAGCTTTTGACATGCTGCTGTTTTCGTAGCCCCTTTAAAGCTGTAATAAAACTTGCTTGTGGTACAATATCCGGAACTGCCGGCGGAATTGGCGGGCTTGGGGCTAGTGGTATCTGAAATTTTGAGGTCTAGGTTATTTGGGCAACCTAGAATGAGAAATACGATGACTAGAGAAATTTTTCATTGATTTTTGGAATTTTTAAAATTCTTTCGGAATTTAGCGTCTTTTACCGATGGCATTTCAGGAACTGATGGTGCGATTGGTGGGCTAGGTGCTAGTGGCACCTAAATTTTGGTCTTGTAACGAGCTCGCTTCTCACCGCTGGTACTGTAGGAACGGAACCCGGGTTCGGGAAGCTTGGAATCTGAGGTGTCAATTTTCCAACGTTTACAATGTAATGATTTTTCGAAAGCTTTTTTTAAGCCCGGGGGCTTGGGAATCTTGAAAATAGCCTTAAAATGCTAAGCGTTGCTTGGATGTTTTTAATCAAAAAATTCCGGTACCTTCCGGAAAACTGACCTGCGCTACAACTCCTTGATTCGAGCTGACATCCGGTGAAAACCCGAAATTCGGATTTGGAGGCTGTAGTCCAGGGTTTTGCGGGGGCATTACAGCTCCTGCAAATTGATTTCGGCTAAATCCGGCACCATTTTGAGGTCCGGAATATTGGCCCTGGCCGCTGTATCCATTTCCCGCATACGCATTCCGATTCTCGCCATAAGCCGCTAAATTTAATTTTAAAATTAAGAATTAATGCGCGTTACCTTGACCATTACCGTAGCCACCACCGTAACCTTGTTGCCGTTGCTGTCCGTAACTGGACGGTTGTTGTTGCTGGCTATAGCCGCCACCGTATCCACCGGTCCTCTGCTGTCCATAGGCCGGTTGCGGATTATAGTGTTGGTTTTGTAGCCCGTAATATCCGGCAGAACCGAATTGGTTCTGATTGAAGTTTCCGTAACCTTTCCCGCCCCAGCCGTAGTCACCCAAATTTTGTTGTTGTTGGAAATAGTTGGGGTTGTAGTTGTTGTCATAATTTACGGGAGCGGCTTGAGATCGGCTACCGTAACCGTAGCCACGTTTAAATCTAAAGTCTATTTTTAATCATTTTCATCTAGCATCGACATCATTACACGACACGACATTAGCATCGACATTTTCGGGGTGCTACTTTTTTGCCAAAAACTTGGATTGACCTTATTAAATAGAGCGCCACAGCTTGCGTCGTTTTAAAAATTCGAAAGATAGCTGCAAATCCACCTGGCAAAGCAAACTCGATTTATTTATCGTTAAAGGGAGCGGACAGCTAACCTCACAATTTACGAAATTTATAAAAATTCTTCTTTTTTTCTAGAAATACGTTTTTACCGAAAGTTTCTGATTTTTTTTTGGTTCAATGCATTCAATGGCTTTTTCGACAGAAAATCACGGATTCTCCACAGCAAAATTGAAATGAATGGTTTTTACAGGGAGTCAGCCAGCTAGCGTCGTAATTTGGGAATAGTTTATTTTTTTGAGCTTGGGCTATTTTTCAAAATTTTTCTGTTTTTTAAAAGCTTTTTTGACCTACCTGCTACTTGAAAAGCCGCAAGAAATGCCGATGAATAGCAAAAATAACAGATAACTTTTTAGGGCCATATTGCAGGGGGTGTTGATATGGAAAACCAAGGAAAAACCCACCACCCCCCGGAAATCCCATCCGTTTTATCGGGTCAATGAGATGGGCTGGGGTGGCTCTTTGACGAATGGGGGTTGACGATCTATCTAGTGGGGTGGCTGGTTCATGGATTAGTCATTAATTAGCTCGCAAGTCTTATTAGGAACGAGTGCGCGGTGCAGTTTTTTTTACGGTTTTTAAAAGTTTATTTTTATTGGCGGTGACATCCGCTTACGGCTACGATTTTGCTGTCGTAATGACTTAATTTGTGGCGCCATCCCTTTAAAACCCTATGGTTTTCCAGGTCGCGATCCCACTCGCCACTCTCGAAGTATGGCCAGAAGAGCTCGTGACGCTGAAGATCATCCTATTTTTGCATTGCGTAATGCCGCATGGAGGTGAGAATTTTTACTTCGTCGCTCTCCCTTTCTCTTGCTCTCTCTCTCCCTCGCGTTTCCGATTCTGTTCCGAAAAATTCTTTCTAGATGACGACGAGATTAGCGAGGAGTCCCGCAAGATGTGCCTCGCCTACAAAAACCACGTGATCCAGGCCCTATTTCGCTACTACAAGAACCTGCATTGGGATGGTTATGAAGGTATTTTTTACTGATCAGCGTTCAAGCATCTTTTTGTCTAGAACGCTTCGGGAATCTCGTGCTGCTGATCGCCGGTATCAAGACGGCCGCGTCGGCCATGCTGGAGAGCTTGCAGGTACTGTCGTTTAATCAACAAGACTTGAGTTAGGGTTTATTTGTGCTCTCCGGCCCTCTCGCTCTCTCTCGCTCTCTCACTCTCTCTCTCTCTCTCTCTTTCTCTCGCTTTATCCAAAATTAGTATATTTTGTATTTTTAGGTAATGCGCCTATTCAACATTGTCGAATTCGATCGTCTCTCCACGCAGCTCCTCTTCAATTCGGATCAATAAAAAGAATAAGATCAACTTTTTACATCCACACATCGCTAGTCATTCATTGCCCGTTGTTATTATACTTTGTATTCGTTCCCAGTATCTTATCATTTTATTCACCATTTTTAGATTCGAATTTAATGCATCATTTTTAGATCCAGATCCTACTTTGCATATTTTTATGCTTTCAACAGAAATTACTTTGAAAAACCTATGGGTCCCTCTCTTTGTCAATGGCCTTATCCGAATTTGATTCGTCATCTTCACCTCGTCCCGAAAATCTGCCCTCGAAACTCTGTGTGCTCAATAAAATGGTTTTTTTTTTGGAAAATTCGGTTATCCAAACGTAACCGGCAAGCTAGCAGAGACGCTTTGGGAATTTAAAATTTATCTCTACAATAGGTCAAATCCGTTAAATTCAAACTTCAAACCCGTCTACAGACACTAAAATATGAAAAAACATCGCCAGCTAGTTTTGAATATCGACGTCAATACGGCGGTGCGTAGGCGTATCTACCAACGCAGGTTTCACCCAATAATTCCGACTTCCGAATCCCGTTAATATCGCCTACTCATCCTCAGATGACGATCCTGAAAATGCCGAGCTTTTGATCCACACCTTCTGGCTCACAGACCAATTTCATAAAGCATTGACCGGATGACTCACGCGTATGCGCGACGCTCTCTCTCTCTCTCTCTCTCTCTCTCTCTCTTTATCTCTTCCCTCGAAAAACAAATTCGATTCGAGATGACATGCACATTAAAAGAACATGGGAACGATCCCGGTGGCCTATCATCAACATCAAATAGAAAATATTCTATAAAAGGCCGGGCTTGACCCTTGGATGTCATTGTGGAAAATGATTTCCAAGATTCTGCTCTGCTTGGCTCTTCCGGTTATGGTGTTGGGAGGCTTCGGGGCTATTACGGTAAGTTTTAGCGTGTTTGGTCCTCTCTCTCTCTCTTTCTCTCTCTCGCTCATTGTCAACTATCAGGGGTTCATTATATATCAGCAAACTACAATAAAGTAGTCTAATGTCATTTTAGGGTCAAGTCCGATGCAACAATTCGGCCGTCGCCGGGGTTGAAGCGTGGGTGTGGAGCAGCGTGGCCCCGGGCAAAAATCAGGAGGATCAACAATTTGCTGACGTGTTGACCAACACGAATGGCGGATTCAAAATCGAGGGATGGGCCGTTGAGGTGAGCCTTTATCGCGAAGAGAGAGAGAGAGAGAGGGAGCGAGAGAGCGAGAGAGAGAGAGAGAGTGAGAGAGATTATGTATTTTCAGAATACCGTCAAGAAGTTCCCGAAAGGAAAATACCAACTCTGGGTTCAGATCGGCCATATCTGCAATAAGGACCCGGTGAGTTAGAGAGCGAGTGAGAGAGAGAGAGAGAGAGAGAGAGAGAGGGAGCAAAAAAGATAAAAAGTCTATCTATTTAGCAAAACTGCAAATCCGTGATCACCTTCCTGCTCCCCGACTCCTACCAAAAGGGCGGCGACTACAAGCTGGGAAATATTCAGCTCTGGAACAATAATGTAATGTTCATAACCTTGTTTTTTATAGTTAGTCCTATAGTGTCATTCATAATTAGGTTTCCCTCTAAATCAGGATTATTTAGGCGACCACCGAGGTGCGCGACATGAGCTCTGGCACCTGGAATGGCCGCTCGCAATGTATCAAGAAATAGAAACTGTATCTATCTGGCCGCTCAATACTTTTATCTTATCTTTTTGAATAAAGTTTTCCGATGTTTACTATAAAAAAAAAGAAGGAATAAGGCATAGATAGGGAAAGATAAGGAAAACTATTTATTTGTTTAAAGAAAGCCTTTATGTTAGAGTCGGGTTTCGAATGGGTAAGCTAATTGAAAAGAGGTTTACGACCCAGAGCGGCTGGGGTTTGCCTACATTCGCAGCGCTACAGCTTTCAAAGTAGCCCAACGCAACCCTAACTACCACTACAACCCGCGCAACTTGTGGAGTTTCGGAATATCCTCGCCTAACTACCGGAAAATTCGAAAAGTACGCATAGATCCAAATAACAAGGCCAAACGAACTATCCACCCCTATGATCCGGCGTCGATCATATCTATGGGTGTCAAAGTGCGTTCATCGGGTGTTCTCCGTTGTTAGTTGTGCGGGGGGGATTGTCTCGTTTTTGAGTGGCTGATTGAGTGCCCCTGGTGATCGGGCGGCCGGCTATGGATTCCGAGCAAAACGTCGCCCGGCGGCCGATTGGCTCAATTTCTCCGAGTCCACGCGGAATTTCGGGCATGGTTTTCGAATTTCTAAATCCTAGAAACTAACTCTAAGATGTATCAAAAATAAGACAAGCCAAAATCGCGCCGGAAAGATGGTATTTTTGTAATTTTTTAGGAACTTTTTGAGATTTTTTTTAATCTGTGCCCGAATTTTGGCGACGGCCTTTTCTAAATTGCTAAAAATATGGTTGTTTTTTGGGCCAGAATGATCCCGATTGTCTGGCTTTAGGTACCCAAAATTTGGTGGTTTCGGCGGGATGCTGGTTGCCTAACCTTTGTTTTTAGCTCGCTGACTGGCCAATTTTTCATTTCTAGAAAGTGATCGTAAATAAACTACCTTTGGACATTGTATTAGCAGGATAACTATCTAGGAGTCCTTCTTGTCCCTCTTCAACCCTCTCTGCCCGTTCCATATCTCCGAAGGCAATCAGCCGCCCCGATCCCTCCCCCTTCTTCTCGACCCATCCCCCTTCCTTTCTATCCATCTACTGCCCTCATTCAACCTTTGTTCTAGCGAGCTTCCGTTTTTATATTTATTTATTTGATTTCGAAATAGCGAGCTGATTACGAAATAGTCCAAAAAATCCAAAATAGAAATTTCGTTTTGCCTAGCCAAGATACCCTGACAGCGCTGACTCCCATAGGGTTTCGATTTAATTCACATTTTTGTACCTTTAAAAAAATTTGTTTTGCTTTTCAAAAGAAAGATAACTACTCTAACAGCGTACTGAATTATTATGTCTATCCTCATTTTTGATTATTGTCCAAAATCACCTCCACGCGTCGAAAAAAAAACGCAATTTGCAGCTGGAATTTTGGGTAGGCCTGGTGACGATTTGCATATTCACATTTTTTACCTATTTATTCCGACGCTCCAGTAATGTTCACCCGGCATCTGCGGAGGGCATTTTTGCCGTGTGAGTTTTTTTGGGCCGGAAACTTCGGTTTTCGATGCGTAACAGCGAGAATGCTAATTAATATTGCAGGAGGAGGTTTAAAGAATAAGTTTTTCAAGAAAAAGCAAAGTTAAGCTGCTTTTCTATATTTATTT